CACATTTCCCCTTCATAAAATTAACATACGGAGTAGATATTTAGATAATGGAAGCACAAATATTTGCAATTCGTTAATAAGAAAAATTTTCCACCATACAAAAGAATGGTAAGATCAAAATTAAAGATTATGTTAGCAAAATTAATTTAGGTTAAAAATTTAGGAGTTACTAAGAGCATAAACAATGGCAAGTATAATAATGGAATGCTACACGTTGACGTGACATATTTCAACCAATAAAAAATAATCCAGTCAGCGTGTGACAAGTGAGTGGAGTGACATGTCTTGCAGTGGCAAGTCATTATTTTTATTAGTTTTTACACTTTTTTTGACATATTTTAATTATTAAAAATTATTTTTCTTATCTTTTTTTAAAAAAATCTTTCTATTTCTTTTAAAAAATCTTGTATTTTATGAAAAAAAGAGGAGCAATTGACTCGCACATGGAATGCAAAGCTTGGCAAACTGCCCCTGCCTTGCAAGGCATTTTATAAAAACTAATGATGTGGCAGCGTGGCAGAAGCAAATCCACGTCAGTGCCGATGCTCTAATGTTGCGTAGCGGCATTATAAGAAACAGTATATGAATGGTTAAAAAATTTTATAGACTTAACTAATTGCGTAACCGTTTTCACATTAGAGTTATTTTGAGGTATTCTCCCCCCGACCCATTTTTTATGTTTCTCTTATTCGTGTGCTTGTTGCATCTACCCCAACTCAAGTTGAAGTTTTCAAACACACTTTCTTCAAAACTCATAAGGAGTAAATTTTGGTAACATTTTTTTGTTTAGGGATGTTATAGCAATAATAATCATACTCCATCCGTCTCATTTTAAACGACCTATTTTGGTTTATGTTAGAAAATGCCTTGAATCTGTATCCTAGACGTATTAGGATTTTCGACTAGGAATAGGATTAGGATTATCTTTCCTAATCTCATCTTTAGATATATAGTAGGATTAGGATTACCCATATCCCCTTCCCTATATATATGGCTTGTATTTGTACTCCTCAATACATGGTAGAGAAAATCTGTAATCTAGTGAGAAAGTACTGATCAATAATAGTTTTTCTCTTCTGTCCGTGGAGGTTACTAACAGGTTGTTAGTAAACCACGTTAAATCTCTGTCGTTTTCGTGATTGTTGATTGTTCGTGTTGATACTTTCTCGCGTCTGTCATAACAATTTACGATGTCTGTTCAAAATTATTTTCAATTCAGTTTATATGAGAATTAGGGTAAAACTAAATCATACTCTCTAGTCCCAATTTGAATCGCATGTTTCGATTTACAATGTTTGATTGAAGCCATTTTCAATGTAATTTATCAGAGAAATTGGAGGAAATTAAAAAAGACTTACATATTAAAAAACTACGTAAAAAATTCTACGAAACAAGAGATGACATGCCTATATTATTTTATCAAATGAGCAACAAAAATGAGTAAAAAATATAAATAAAATTTGACACCGTGAATAGTAAATAGACAACTTAATTTGGGACAAAAGGAGTACAATTTAGATATTTAAAAGTTACATTAAAATTCTTATAAAATAAGTGGTAACATGACAATATTTTTTATCAAATAAAGTTGGTAAAGAAAGTGAACAAAGTTTGGGATAAAGAGACTAAAACAAGTCATGCATCTTGTAATCTTTCTTATTAACAAGTGTCTAACTCTCTATACTTAGTTTAACAAACATGTATAATATGTCACATCTTAACTAGGATTATTCCTGTGCTTGAATGTTTTATTTGCTTTCTAAATTTGTAGGCACTCTCAAGATGTCTAGATTAACTTAGATAATTTCTAGATGGTGTAAAGTAATTATTCCTAAAATGAGAATTATGTCTAGGTTTTTGCCAAATAACATGCATCAAAATTTATGCGAATTATGTTTAAGGAGAATTATGTCTAAGTAATTATTCCTAAAATGAGAAGTATGTCTAAGGACACCTCAAGTTTGAACTGGCTCTCACACTATTTTCTCACAAATATTCACAAACACCAACAATATTTTCAATTTTTTGTGTATGTGAATGTTTAGCAGAAGAATGATGTAAAAATTAGGGCAACAAATGTGACGAATGTCCATATTTTCTTATTTTGATAATTTTTTATTCCAATCGATGATTCTTTTTTATCATAATCAATTTTCTTTTACTACGTGATTATAAAATAATAGGAGTAATACACATACTTGTACTCCATATGGTATTCCATTGGCCTTTAAACTTCACTTTGACTTTAATTTTTTTGCACCGTATATACACATTTTATTACATCTATACTATACTTAAAGCGAGGGGAATTTTTTCCCGCCCATACGTGATGCTAATATATGGAAACTGTTTAGTACTTTAATTATCTTGCCTCAATACATGTGAAGCATATATGGATACTATTGAATGCTATGTTTCGTGTGACTCCTTACATGGTAGGTATTACTTGCCATTTTTGGTTTAATTTCTATTAATTACTAATTAATATGTTTCCATTTTAATTTAATCAATGGTAAGTGTTGCAGTGCCATTCTTGGTTTCTATAAAAAAAAATTAACAATAATAATTGCTAACCTAAGCAAACAATTTTATAATAATAAAAATATTATTATTATTATTATTATTATTATTATTATATAATAAATTTTCAAAATATTGTAAACTAAAAGGAATTGATTAGTTATACCTACAAAGTAATATGTCCTCTAATTTTGTAAACTAAATTTCCGTGAACCTAACTACACATTTAAATGCGATGATATTTATTTAAAAAACAATTGTTTCCTTTTCAGTTTTTTTGTATAAATAGTGACAAATGTCGTGTTGAGAATAACATATCCCCTTATCGACATTATATTATATTATTTACGCTCTTTAATAGAAATATTAGTAAATAATCATGGGTGTGTGGTTGACATTCAACAAAACTAATGCTACAAAATTATAGGTAATAGAATATTTTAAATTAAACTTATTTGATCGATTTTATTTTAAACTAAACTTATTTGATTATAAGGGTAAAACTAAAAAAATATGATGCTACTAAATTATAGGTAATATAATTATATTTTTTATCAAATAACTAATTAAAATAATCAAAAAAATAAATTAAGTTTGACCGTGCAAATAGCACCAAGAAAAATAGTTTTAGAATGGCAAGGTCTGCGTACACACACCCTCCCCAGACCCTACTGTTGTGTCACCTGGGTTGTTGTTGTTGACTTCAAATTTTACCCTTCTTAAAAAAGATTTTTTGCAATTTTTTTTGCAATCATTCAAAATATAGAGTTAGAAGATAATTGGTGTAAATACATGAGGGTATTCATGTCATTTGTCATCTTTTTTTTAATGGGAAGGTAGTTTTAGGACGGAGAAAAAGGGGAAGTGGAAAGAAAGTTTTAGGACGAAGGGAGTATGATATATTTAAAAAGAAGGGAATTCCCCTTTGCATTTTTTCACCTAAATGGTCTTCAATCACAAAAGGGAAGCGCTTTACATAAATAGGTAAGTGTTACATGCAACAGTGGCATGTATAAAGTAATAAATATTTATGAATTATAATGTACCGTGTATAATAAATTCAAATTTCGAGTAAAAGGTAATTATGGTAATTAAATTACCCATGTAATATATTTTCATTAATAGGGTAATTCCATACCTTAAAATTTTTAATGACGTGTTATAAAAAGTATATTAATTATGGTACCGTGTTATAAAAAGTATAATTAACACGGAGGATAAAAAGTATAACTTTTAAATGCCTTTTTACAAAAAGTATAAATATTACTTTTTATACTTTTTATGATACCGTGTAAATAAAAGTATTCTCACACCAAAAATATTATTTGGTCCAACATTATATATTATAAATGAAATTTAAAGGTTTTGAAATCGAAATGATAGTGTGAAAAAATATCGATCAAAAAATATCGGTGTTTTTTTAAATTTGTACGTATTTTAAATAAGGCAATTTCATTATAAGCAACGTAATAATAATAATAATAATAATAATAATAACAACAACAACAACAACAATAATAATAATAATAATAAAGGTAGGTTCCTTTTACGTGATTACCATGTTTAAAATATTACCGTCTTTGGAAAAAAACATGAAAGCATTGCCTNTGAACAAAAAATTATTATCACATCTTAAAGTATCCAAATTAAAATTACAGTTGTATTTCCATTTATACTTTTTAGGTATTTTAAATAAAGTGTTTTTTTATATACGGTTTGGTAAGAAAGAATCATAAATACACGTTGATAATTAAAAATTTAAGTTAAAAAAGGAATGTTGAAATGGTAAGTAACACCAACCGTGTAATTTGGCCAAAAAAATTACATTGTAATTTTAAAAATAAAAATTTTGAAAAAGGAAAATAGAATAAGCCAAAAACTTTTCATAGTATAAATGCGATCATTTGCAAGGATTTTCGTAATTAATTTCTTTCAAGTGCACTTTTAAATATGGCCGTTGAAGAAAAAATTTAATTTAGTAACGTAAATATGACCCGTGCAACGCGCGGTGTGATACTAGTTCATCCAAAGTTTCATCACAAATACAACTCCAAAAAAAACAGAAAATCCAACAAATAACCCTGACCTTTGGAGGAGTATATTTACACCAAACCTGTCACACCATTTCGGTCTCGTTTTTAGTCCTTGAAGCCACTCATATCCAACCTTAATATCATAAGGCTTATCTCTTGGCATTTCTATGAAACTATATTTATTACTTTTATCCTCTTTTTCCAGTAATTACAGGAGTCTAATTTGGGAATATAATCCCAAAATCTTTACTCCTTCAATGTATCTAGTGTGAATCTATTTGACCCATAAAATGTCCTTTTTCTCCACTACATCCCAATTAGGTTTCATAACGGCAGCCCTCATCCCTTGAACTATAGGTACCTTCTTATATTCATAAGAGCTTCCCCAAAGAAAATATCTGCAAAATGGCCATAATCTTCTTCATTGCCCCTTTAGGTAGAAAATGATCATTGGCATATATTTCATTGAAAACTTTAGTTAAACAAAACAACTGTGCAGCAGAGCAGTTACAGACTTACAGCATGAGTCTTACACATAATTCTACTCTAAAAAGAATACATACAGCATTACCCAATACATATTTAGTATTCAATAATCAATACAGCACCTCCAATATATGACCTTACCCCTCTATAAGCCCTGCAGCCTACACTCACACCATAAATGGGCATTGGGTGAAAACAGTGTGTTGCGGGTGATTGGGTGACCGGCGTGCTAAAGCCCGACCCATTTTACCCATCTGAATAATTTCCCTACTCGAAAAGGCAATCCGTAGTCTTTAGCAATGGCAGGTTCCCTTGTAGCAGCCTCAGGCTCAGACCATGTGTACACCCCTCTTTCCTGGCTGCTGCCCGGCACGGTATTGTCAAGGATCACCGCCACTAGAAAAGCAATCACCATGTGCAATGAAAACAATGTGTTCAAGATATAGTTTAGCTGCAAAATGAGAAGAAAAAAAAGAAATATATATGAGGCGGGGGGTCAAACTTTTGACCAACAATATCTCTTTAATCGTATAAATTTTATGTTCTAAGTCCTTGTACTATATTTTTGGACGTTGTTAGTCGAAAGTTAGGCACCAAAAACATAATATGCAGATAATATGGAACGCAGGGAATACTATTTATGGCCCTACTTGGAGAAAACATTCATCTATGTTTATATCCTAAATGGAGCAATAATTTTCAAACAGACATATAGATACCATAATTAGAGGGGGATTGGAAAATGAGAGTGAAATAAAGTTGGGAGAAGAGGCATACCCCTCCATATTTGGTGTGGATGGGACCATGGGAAGCAACAACATAAGGCTGAAAATAACTAGGAACAGACAAATTGCTGTTTGGGGAGATGCCATAGTCTTGGAAGTAGGCTGGTATTGAGAGGGCAAAAAACAATGATAATCCGACAATAATTATGTTTCTTGAACTCCCTGCCTCGCTGTAGCTTAAGTTTGACAAGCCCAATGCCGTGAGCATCGCCCACATAAAGCACAACAGAGCTGCAACTATGACTTCAGGAATTGAAGCAATAAACCCACCAACTTTGCCTGCCAAGGTGACACTAAACAGTATTTTACTGTTTTTTTAAATAATACGGCACTCATTCAATAAATTCGCAACATTATGAGAGTTTACTACTCCGTAAATGATAAGAAGCAAAGATGGAACACATACCCACAAGGGATAAAATGATCAGAGCAACTGCTCCAAGTGAAACTGTTGTGCGGCTTCCCATCTTAGTGACAGCAATGGTGTGCACATTCTCAGTCAAAGTCGTAGACCCAGTTCCTGTACCCCACAGACCAGCCAAGAGGCTAGTCAGGCCTTCAAGACCAATCCCTCGACTCAAAACACCAGGTGTGGGTGGTCTAGATGCCACCAACAATGATGATGCATGATATGAACCGACCTAAGTTAGAGAGATATCAATTAATCATCTGAACACTATAATGTTACTTGTATAGAAAAAAAAATGAAGTATGGTTACCATATCGTCAAACTCAAATTCCCAAACATGTAATTTGACGTGATAAAAATTAAAAACAGTTTTTATATCTAAATTCTAGGATTATACCGACTTTAATAACAATATAATATGAGCACTTCTTCACAAAATTTTACGACGTACGAGCTTCCCTTAAAGTAGAAAATCATCAAAGGCGGATATCTATCTTCAGTACGGGTCATTGTCCACTGATTTTAATTTCTTATAATCATGAATTCATCATTATAAATCATAACATTAATAAAATTGATAATCTATTCTCCAGCAAAAACACTTTAGTGGAAAAGGTGAGGGTGTAATCACGCGCTTAATGAATTGACAATATCCATAGGTATACTAGAAAGAAGATACTCCCTCCGTCATGAAATAACCTTGATGGGTTGACTTCACGGAGTTTAAGAAATGCGTTGAATAGTAAAAATTGTGGGATTGAAATGTGTTTAAAGTAGAGGAAAAACTTGTGAACCACATATGAAAAAGGAGAAGTGTGAAGCTTAAATTTATTTTGGAGGGAATGTATATTACACCTTAGTGGAAAACGTGAGGAGTTTGTGTGTGCGTGCGTGCGTGCGTGTGTGCGGGGGGGGTGCAGTTTATGAAGCGTTATAATAAAATAAGCAAAACCCAAATAGGTAACTCAGTGCTTCATTGGAACCGGTTGCAACTCCATGGTGGCGCTTGCCGCCATAGTGGCGACGTTGAAGAGAAGACACTATCAATTTATTCATCACTTCATTAGTTCCTCACATTTTTCACTAAGGTGTTTTTGCTTGAGAATATATTATCAATTGATAAAAGTTATGATCATGATTTTGTAATTATGTGAAAAAAATCAGTGGACAATGAAACAAGAACCACATTAAAGATAGATATCCCCCTTTTCCAATGTTTTTTTACTGATACATCTATCCTGTGTTCATGCTTAGTAAGTAGTGATCTATTGAGTTGTTTTAGCCTTATAGGTTAAAGGGAGTTTTAAAGAATGAAATTTGCAAGACTATACTTTTTTGGTATTTAATTTTTTTGCACATACAGCCGTATAGTTTCTGTTGAAATTGATATTCTTTCTCCATACTTTTTGGCTTTTTACAAATCAATATCTTTTTCTTTTGCAAAAAATTAACTAAAACAAGAGGGAGTACTCACCGAATCAACTGAAGAGATTATGGTGACCACACACATTACAAGACCCATTTTCCAACGGAAGATGGGCAGTCCCCATTGTAAAGGATATGGAAATCTAAACCACGGAGAAGCTCTTAATGCATGGGACGTATCAACCCGGCAGCTCTTCATCCTAGAAACATGTTTTCTGCAGTGAGCAGATATTATATTCGAAGCTGGTACGTTCACATCACATCCTTCGTAGTTATAGGTTCCCACTTCAGTTAGGAAATAAGCTACAATCCACGTTATAGCTAGACTCAATGGAACCTGTTTATTCAAATGTAGAACGAAATTGTTATCTAAGGTTAACATAGAAATCCAAGCTTTATGTACAATGAATGAGAAGTGGGAAAAAAGACTCACTGCATAAATTAAGAATGCACGGTGGCCCAAAATAGCAACCTTTCGAAGATACTGTCAGATTGCCAGGCAAGGGAAAAATCAAATTGAGCAAATACAAATAGTTCAATATGTTACTCGTTAGAGTGGAAAAGAGTACAGGAATATGAAAATAATAAATATGTAGTAATACTAATAAAAAATGTGAAAAACTAAGCAGCCAAGAACAGCAGCATACACACTGTTTGCAGTGTTCTTTTTTGTTTGGATGTTTGACAAATACAGTAGTACTGGACATGAATGAAATTATGAGGAATTTGAACGAAAAACATACAAGAGAAAAAATAATGACTAGTAAGATCTGCACAGCACCAATTTCAAGACAGGCACCAACTCGGGGGACGCCATAACTGTAAAAAGACAGTCCGATAGAAGCAATAGTAGGAGCAACAACGACTGGATTAATCCACCTGGTGAAAATATAAAGGGCAAGTGAAATCTGATTCATATGCTCACATCATAGCAGTAACCAGAACCAAAATTCAGTGCTTAACGAAAGTTAGCATTCTGAAGTACTAATACGACTGTACAAATCATAATCACAAGAAGATAATAGGAAGGGTAAAAAATGGATCTAGTTAAGCCAGACAAGATGCACACACAGATAATGCCACAGCCGGTAAAGGTTTCGAACAGCCTCTATGAAAATCAGATCCCAGTTTCATCATAAGGTATGTTAATATATTTATTGAAACAACTCAAACAAGAATACAATGGTGAACAAGTTCATTTTTAATATATTGACTTGAGCCCTTAACAATAGAAACCCTCAAATACCCAAACAGCAAATGATTTCCACATATAGTAATATGGGTATAGAATAAAAAGGTGATTAGGTTATCGTACTTCAAAAATATCTTCATAAGCCCACTGTACCCCAGTATTGCTTGAAACGATGAAGCAATTATTATGGCTCCCTGTAACTCTTTCATGATATGCGTAAAACTCTGCACACACAAAAAAGTACAATCTCAATGGGAAAAAGGAGCTGAGGATGCCAGAAACAGTGTATTTTCACAAAGAAAATTTCAGAAACGTACATTTCCATTCAATCTTAAGAACTCTGGGGAGTTGATTATTGCAAGTGCAGGTGCAAGATAAACAAATGAAGGACCTTGTATAAGTGGCAGCCTTGAGCCAAAAAATGTGTGCAAAAGTGTCGAAACTCCGGACACAAAAAGCACAGTGGAGACAACATTTGATGTATCCTCCTACTTGCACCAAAGTGAATTATTAGTCAAAACATTTATTCACAGAATAACAATAAAAGGAACTCTTCAAGTGTAGAATGAGGAATGAATTACAAGTGCTCACATAGGTGCCACCCATTGCCGGAACGATCACAAGTGGAATTAGTACCAATGAACCCAATATTGAGAGATAATGCTGCAAGCCATAGAACCCAATAGGAACTGAAACATGATCAACATGAGTATGTTAAATGCCAATTAAAGGGAAACGGGGGAAAACTTCAATTTTGCCTAATAACCTAATACGCCTCATCACATTAAGACGAGATTTGTTAGTCCGAGAATTGAACTCGTGACCTCTAGGTATCGTGATCAAATACCATGTTAAAGAATCAAATTCAACCGCAAACTTAAACTAGTGATTGAGGTCCATAAAATGATTTTTAACTTTTTATTCTTGAACACTATTTAGTCAAGCAGGACCAAAATATCAACAATATAAAACAATTGATTTAGTTGCCATCCTTGTACTAGCAAACAAACAAGGAGTAAGTATATACAAGCATTTGGTTCTCTGAATACTGACCCAATTGTTATAAATAATAATAATAATAATGATAATAACAATAAGGGTGTTGCTAAATTCGCCCCTTTTTGGCTAAATTCACTCCTTTTATATTGAATGTACAATTTTGTCCTTAAATAGTGGGTTGCATCTAAATGTCCTCTTTTGTATTTTTAAAGGGAAAATTGACTATTTGTTATATATGAAGTGGACTTAGCAAAAATGGGAGTGAATATAGCAACACCCTAACAATAATAATAATATTATTTGGTTTTATTATTATTATTATTAGTATTATTATTGTTGTTGTTGTTGTTATTATTATTATCATCAGTAATAAGTTCGTTTCTATGAAAAAGAACACTGCTCAAATAAGGACGCCAGTTAGAAAGAATTTGTTGGATACCACAAGGATCAAATCAAATTAAATTAAATTAAATCCTGAAAACCCAAGCCCAAGCTCACCAAAACCAGGGGAATCTCTAAGCTCGTACTTCAAATGCGAATGCCTCTGGAAACCATCATCCTCCACGGATTGCGGAAGCATATCAACGGCCTCTTCGCTCCTCAATGTTCTTCGACTGGGCTGCCGCTGGTGCCCGCCACCAGCCTTACTCGCAGGCTCCGCCGTCGCAGCGGCAGCCACCACCTGTTCATTGGTTCCCACACTCTTCGGCGCCACTCCGCCCCCGTCGGATTCCCTCCTCTTTCTCGCCGGTCGATCCCTCTCCGCCTGCTGCTCCCCGTTAACCCTATCATTCCCAGACCTAACCCTCCCCGCTTCAAGATCCAGATTCGCCTCCCCGTCCCTGGCCCTGGGCCTGGCCGGGGGCTGATCTTGCGGCCGGAGCTCAATTTGTCCGGAGTTACTGGCATTGGTCTCCCCGGACAACTTGGGGCGGAATCCGGTTCGCTTCGCCCAGGAAGAAGCCGGCATTGCCGCCGGAGCGGGCGGCCACGGGCCCGGCCGGCTCTTCTTACTAGAATCGGCGCCGGCCATCGTTCAACCACCGCATACCAACGAGGACTAAGCTAAGGAAACTGTTACTCAGATCCGAGCCGCAGCCGGCGACCGGCGGAGCTGAGAACTGAGAAGTGGAGGAGGAGGGAGCCGAAACGACGCCGTGTGGTGGTCTTCGAAACCTGCTGGGCAGCGTTTGGCAATGTCGCGGAGTGAGTGAACATGCTTGACTTTTGAGGAGTTTTGGGGTTTCAGTTTTGGTGGGTGGGCAGTTTGTGAGATACGTATTGCATACGCTGTACTTACCAGCCATATGAGGTAAGTTCATTTTGCTTGCAAATTTTCATTCCCTAATAAGGAGTATTCAAGTTTTTACTTTATAGGTCACCATTATAATAATTGAAAAAAGAGTTATAAATGCACTCCTAACGTATAAAAAAGCAATTTTGATTTGGACCATGCTAGGGTGCCACCACATGGATGCTATCATGGGTGCACTCATGCTTCGCACAGACAAACACAGACGATAATTGTCTGTGCGACACAGACAATTATCGTTTGTGTTTGTCTGTGCGAAGCATGGGTGCACCCATGTGGTGGCACCCTAGCATTTTCCTTTTGATTTCGGTTGGGAACACCATTAATGAGTAGGCAAATTTTAAGGTTACGATAAGAAAAAGGACGGTACATATGACATTGCCGGGTAATGTTATGAAATGACATGGAGGCGCTTCCGTGCCCCGTTCGTAAAATTGACGATTCCTATATCTTCTAACCCACCAAGTAAATCCTCGTCATGCCTCGACCCGAACACACCCCCACCCCTTCAATTGCACTCCACAAGTTAATTTTGACTTTGAATTCAAATTTTGACAATTGTTATAATGAATCATGTTGATGTTATATGCATCTTAAACATAGCCAAATTGGTACCAAAAGAATGATTTTTCCAACATGTCTGCAGATGCACCAAGCATGTTCCGCGCTAAACCCTAGGTCGCTACCGCCTACCAGTAACACCTACCGACACAAGCTAAAACCATCTACCTAATGCTTGACACTATCAGTATCTCACTCCCAATCGACGGTATTCGAAATTTTCCGAAAAAACTGAGAATACCGAATCGATAAATACCGAACCGAAAAAGTACCGAGAAGAACCGAACCGTACCGAACCGAATGGTCGGCACAGTACTTGGAAATGGTACAAGGTGACGTCCCATACCGAAAATCTCAAACCGAACATATATACTAAAATATTATAAAAAATAATACCCCCGAGTAATATTTTTATACTCCTTCACTAAATAATAATTTTTTTCAAATAAAATTTGGTTCAAGTTCTATTATGTGTAAATTATACTTTTATTTGATTTTAGTTTTTGTTTATGAACATAAAAGTATTCACAAAGATTTGAAATACTCCTTCATTGTCGTTCATTTTTTTAGTTTGTGAAATATAAACTAAGTTTTGATACGCATCTCTTTCATTTAAATATTCATTTTTTTAACTTTTTATGTTTTTTTATTTAAATTCACTTTTTAATTTTCAAAAATAAAGGGGTATTGTTAAATTTTAACGTGTAAAGTATGTATGTATATTCATCCCGATTTGTATCGAAACCGATACCGAACCATCCCGAACCATACCGAATCGATATTTCGGGATCGGGATCGGTACGGAGTAAAATCACATACCTAACTGAAATATTTGGTACGGTATCGGTACGAGCTAAATACCGTACCATACCGTACCATGCTCACCCCTAGCTGAAACCCTCGGCTCCTCCATTGACACGGTCGGTACCTGAGCTACCGAATACCGGTACTCGCTATCGTCTGATCGTGACAGGGACCGGGTGACAACATGAATAATGTGACAAATGTTCGACACCAAGGATGCAATTCGAGACTCTACGTTAGGGGTGAGCAAATTAAACGGACCGACCGCGAAACCAAACACCGAAAACCAAAATAACTAAAAGTTTGGTTTCGATTTTCATGTAAAAAGGATTTTCGGTTTTTTTTCGGTTTTTGTAACAAAAAAACAAACCGACCGAATAACCGATGATTTTATTTTAATTTATTTTTTATTTTTTAGAATAACAAAATATTTGATTAACACATATACTTTCTTCTTACTCTTTCATGAAAAACTTTAATGTTTTACTTTTAAAAAAATTATTTGTTATTGTTTTGAACATACTAATAAGAAAAGTGTAATTTTTATATGAAATGGATAGTGTATATTCAAATGAAAATTAATTTATCTTACTAAAGTATGACAGTAGAAATGTCTTAATGTAAACTAATTTAATACATATTAATGTATCTCGCCGAATTAGTTTCTTGAATTTATATTAATAAGTCAAAATAAAAGTAATTAATATTCGGCTTTCTGTTGGTTTTTTTGTTGTATGGGCGGTTTTCGGTTCCGGTTTATGATCGATTCGATTCGGTCTGTTTTCAACCATGTTAAAAAAATCAGTTTTTTTTATTTCAAACCGAAACTGACCAAAACCAACCATTGCTCAGCCCTACTCTTCGTGTTCCATGATGGTAAGTGCAGGGATTAACACCCAACACTAGGCCATTACTAGTTATGATATATTGTATGGTTACAATGTGCTAATCCAACACTTGCATCATTATGGTGTGTTGAACCAACACCCAAGAATATGTAAAGTAGGGGTGAGCAAGGACTGAACCGATCCCGGTATTTTCTGAAAAAACCAAGAATACCGAACCGATAAAGTATCGAAAAGAAATTGAACTGCACCGAACCGAACGATAGGTCCGGTATTTGGAAATGGTATGAGGTTACTTCCCATACCGAAATTCCCGAACCGAACATATATACTAATATATTATAAAAATAGTAATCTTGATATATTTATTCAATTCATTAAATAAAAAGTTTATATAGCCAATTTAGTTTAAATTCATTGTGTTTAAGTTGCACTTTAATAAGAGTTTTTTTTATTTTTTGTAGATGAGTATAAGAATATTAACAAATATTTGATATAATACTTTGTTATCACTCTATCTTTAGTTTCTGAAATATAAACTAACTTTCATAAGCATTTCTTGCATTTTATAGTTTCATTTTAAAATTTTTATCTTTATTTGATTAAATGTACTTTCTGTTTTTCAAAAATAAAAGTTTTTTTCCATTTTATAATGTAAACTAGGTACGTATTTATTCATCCCGATTCATACCGAAATTGATCACGAACCATACCGAACTGATGCTTTGGGATCGAGATTGGTACAATGTAAAATTTCATACTGAACCAAAATATTTGGTACGAGCTAAATACCGTACCATACCGTACCACGCTCACCCCTAATGTAAAGTCTATGAAAAATGAATGAACAAGATGATCAAGTCTACCTAGAGGAATTCTAGGACTAATATGTACTCCCTCCCAGAGTATTTGTCCAGTTTTGACTTTTGGAACTGTTCATCAAAGCACTTTGACTCATCAAATTCTCTCAATGTGTAAGCCTAAATATAGATTATTAATATATAATTTCTATAATTTTTAATATACAAATTACAAGATAAAATGGATTAAAGAAGTGTATGGGATGGTGTGTAAAAATGAAAGTGGACAAATACTCTAGGACGGATGTAGTAATCAGTAAAAGCAACGTGTGTCGAGAGTATGTAACACCATGCGGTCTGTAGGGCTAATTGTGAGTCGGCAAGAACTCTCGTTTCGTCATCTTGATTTACAGTAAAATGTTATTGAATCATTAACAAAACTGAATCGACAAAAAATAACAAATTTGAATGTAAACAAAACTAATTCAATAACAAAACGCACCCAAAACTTCATCAACAAAAATGAATCAATACCTGACATATAGAAACGTAGTAAATTGCTACATCAAAATGTCAGTGTAAAAAAAGACCAACTAAATGTCACATGTAATCATATAATGGCAATCATGCTAATGTATAAAGTCATACATGCAAAAGTATTATGCTAAACAATTTAAATAGATAATGTCAACCTTGACATTTTATAATGACATTCCTGACAATGTATAATCAAAGATATGTCAATGTATAATAAAAGATATGTTAATGTACAATGTTATATATCACAGATATTAATGCATAATGTCAAAAGGGGTAAATGTCAAGAAACTCTACTCTTTGTCAACGCCATAATAATTCANCCCCCCAAGAAGTAAATTCACAGTTAAAATTGAATGTCACCTTTTATTTCAAATTGAATTTAAAATTGAATTCAAACTTATCCATGGCTGAAAGAAATAGTACCAATTTTATGAAGTAATTCCCTAAGAAGTAAATTTTTAGAGATTAAAAATTGATTGTAACCACTTATGTCGAATTAAATAGAAAAGAAAAAAAGACTAAAGTAAGAGTAAAAAATTGAAAATAAACCAGAATAAGATTTCCATATTTTTATTCTCAAAATAGGAGTTAAAATACATTTACATTACCAAATATGATCATGTACATTACCAAAGAGTATAATAATGTGCACATGTACACTATCACATTCAACCACATTACATGAAGTCCTATTTCAAAAATAAAAATATGAAATTCTTATTTTTGTACTTTTTTCTATGTTTTAGTCCTATTAAGGGTGATTTTTATAAAAAAATTAGGGCGGAAGTGTTTCCAAAAACGGATGGAGAATGTTTTATATTCGTTTCGTATAAATTTCTTCATCATTTAATTTTTTTAGTTAAACAGTGACATAATTTAAGCATAAATTATGAAATGTATTATTATATATTATGTAAATTTAATTGGTGTCTTTCAAAATAGTTTTACCCCAGAGTATAGTCTAAGTTCCTAGCTTTAGTGCATGCGAGGAAAGCACTAAGAGCTTTAAAAGGAATAATCTACTAATATACAAAGGTGAAGGGGAAAAATGAACAGTGCATTTTCCCGCCTAAGTAACTGGGTTCGGATTGGGCGTTCGGGTATGGGAGTAATAATTGGGTATCCAAATTTTGTGAGAGAGATAAATGACCAATTCGTGTTTGGGTGTATCAATTGGTATCCAATTCGAATTAATGCTTTGGAAAACTAAAAAGTTTGCTTTGGAACACGAGAAAATTGAATTGCAAATTAATGTCCGAATTTATTAGGCTCTTCGTATTCAACCACTTTGAAAAACGAATTTGTGTGTTTTAAAAACACCCAAATTAAATGCTTAGGCGCCTCTTGGTATTCAAGAGTCAAAAAAAGAGTTGGGCGCCGTATACACTCGAAAAAAGGAAAAAATTAATTGGCCTTTTTTCCAAGAAAAAAATTGAATTATTTCTCCCCTCCATACAAACTTATATATAAAGCCTTCTTTAGCAATTCATTTTGCAAACCTACACCTTCTTCTTCAAAAATTTCAGTTTAATATTTTCAAATAAAATGGCTCGCAAATGTGTTTTTCCGGGAATATTTACCAATCTCAGAGACCTCAAAAGTGATCAAAAAAATATTGCTATTCATGTACGAGCTATACGTGTCTACCATGTTGAACCTTATGGACGAAATGTTGAATCCATGGAAGTTGTGTTTCATGATGAAGAGGTATTTGATCTTTTACTATGGCAATTATTCCAGTTTTTTTTTTGCTACGTTTTTTATTCGTGCAACAAATGAATAACGTTAACAAAAAATCTTAATCCTTGATATAATTTTTTGGTGATTATAGGGAACTCGAATTCATTGTCATATCAAAAAACCATACAACAAAAAATACAAAAAATAAATTGTAGAAGACGGTGTCTATGGAATAAGAAATTTCATGATCTATGATAACTTTCAAGGATTACTAAATCATACGTGAGTAGAAAAATCAATTGAAAATGTATAATGTTAAAAAAATAAACTGATTATGACGTGTTACTTTGAAGATTAGAATATATTTTTCCGAGAATAAAGAAGCTGGAATTTTTAAATGAAATATATATTTTAATAAATTAAATATATATTTTCAGTGCTAATAAAGGTACAACCCGAAGCATATTTTAGAAAAAAATACATGCATATTCCAAATCCCTAAGTTCATTTAAAGAAAAATATTTAATTTTGTGATACATAAGAGCTCTTCAAAAATCGAATGAAATTGTGAAATCCGACCCAAATTTCAAAAAAAATGATGTTTCTTTTAAAGAAAAGTAAATATTTAATTTTGTTTGAAATTAGATCTTCAAACAGAGAAGAAAATGGTGGAATCCGACCAAAATTTCAAGAAAAAGACATGCATATTATTGATCATTCAAATCCATTGAAGAGAAATGAATATTTAATTTTGGATGATTTTTAGATATTCAAAAATCGAAGAGGATGGTTAAATCAAAACAGATTTCAGATATATACACATACATGCTCCAGATTCGGTAAATGATTTAAAGAAAAATAAATACTCCGTATTTAATTTTGATTGAAATTGAGATTTCCAAAAATCGAAGAAGATGGAATAAAATAATTAAAAACATACCCAGCGAGAGAATCCGAAGCGTAGCATCGTAGCATCTGGAAATTCATAGAATAGAACATATGCGATAGAAAACAAATCGGAAAAACCATGGAATGTAGAGAGAGAGAGAGAGATCGAATGGAAGATGAGGGGGCGGCGGCCAGGGTTTGGGAAAATAACAAAGGGTTGGGCCGGGTCCTTTTTTTTAAATTGGGTTGGGTATATTTTTTTGGGATTGGGCTAATGTTTGGGTTGATGTTACCTTAAAATATTATGATTTTCAACATAAAATTCAATATTTTTCTTAAAGGTGTTTAATTTACCAATTATACATAATTGGAGTAAGATTGAAAAGTTATTAATTTTTTCAAAAATAAGATTGTGTAAGAATTTGGACATTACGTTTAGCACAAACGTCTTTTTTGTTTTGAAATTTTACTTATATTTTTTAAAGTGATATTAATTTTTAACTTGATTAATAGTAACGTGTACGTTATTTGCGTAAAACAGAGATTGGAAGTTATTATATAATCTACTGTGCTTATTGCAAAATTAAAGATGAGTTAGACGCCATGGAACGATGTTGGAATTGCAAAAATGGAATCATTTGGGGTGTCTTAGCATTGGTCTCATTGACAATTCCTGGATTTATTTCATATGTCGTGAATGTTTTGGACTGACACCGCAAGAAGCACTGCAACCAAGTCCTTCAAGCCAACCAAGACGCTCGACTAGAAACAAAAGGCCGAACAAAAAAATTTATAATGCTGATTATATTATCTATTGATATATATTATATGAAAGAATTTAAGATTATCTTTTTTGTTATTTTGGCATGGAGAACATTATGATGAAATATATGAAAATATGAAAGTATATGAAAATATTAAATTAGGAATTTCTTATGGAGGAATTTGTCAATTTTAATCATGTTTTTACATTTACTATTAAAATCCCATATTTGATGCTCTTTTGACTATGTTTTTTATTATTCTGTAGAATGGTTGAGTAGTTTGTATTTCATTAAAAACTACTAATTAACCAAAGAAGTGTTAAGCGTGATTTCATGTAATTATTTAATATGTTTTATTAAACCATGGCTTATATGAATTGTTAAAACTTAGAAAATGATATGTTGGCTGCCTCAATTTTGACTTCAAAGGAAGCAGTTCCCTATTATGACTTCTTACGCACCAAAACAATTAACAAGAGTCAAAGTCAATCGTTGAAGCACATGGAATTGTTGCTCAAGAAACCGGTTTTCAGTCACGGCCAACTTTACGTTGATGTCTCTCGAGTGACTAATAGACGTGGTTTGAAGGTTTTGATTTGTAATGATGACCTACAACTTTCAAATAACACAAGAAATGTAGTGTACAAAGAAGTCTTTCAAAACATTTAATGTAGGCTTTTTTTTGTTCTTGCTATGCATTCCAAAATATTTCTATGTAATACTTTTAATGCTTATATTTGAAATCATTTCAGTTTGTTGTCTTTATTTTCAATATAAATTTAAAATATATTTTTACAATTACTATGCCAAACTAATGACCGTGCAACGCACGGGTTAGAGAACTAGTAATACTACAAGCTCTGATGAGAGGCTATTTAGTTTAGAAAAGAGCCGCCGCTACTCTTTATTGTAATCAAAACCCAAACGGAGTATTTAATTAAGTACTCCTATTTAAAGTAGTTTAAGTTTGAAATCCTATTTTAAGGATATGATCCATATTTTACTTCTATTTATAGAGTTTTCTTATATGACTTTAGATAAATTCATACTTGTACTAGATGAACGTATGATTAATGTACTCCCAAATCTATCACAGATAGATCATTGATGCAACATTTTTAAATTTTCACAGAGTATTGGTACAATTTTTAAAACTCAAGGGGAATCCGTGCATTTAAAAAAAATTGAGAGATAAATGGTGCAAAAACCTCATTTAAAAACCAAACAACAAATTTTCACAATAATATTATAACCACATTGAATATCTTTCTTTTCCAAACAAATGCTCCATCTATCTATATCTATACTATATTTAAAAAGAGGTAAATTTTTTCCCGCCCATATATAAAAGTAATATATGGAAATGTTGTGCGTTTAAATTATTATATGTATGTGTATGCATTAAATTTAGTAAGCATTAATTAATAATCCATAATTAATGGTAAATGGAATAGGTTAAGGGGATCTTTGTATGAGCATTAAAAATGGAGAATTTCATAGAAGTACTAACTAATACGTAGTAATTAATGAATAATTAATAGTAATGGAGAATTTTGTATGAGTACTAAAAATGTTTCCATTTTTATTTAAATACATCAATATGTTTTTAATAACAACGAAACAATAAGGTAGAAAGGAGAATATGTTTCCATATTTATTTAAATGCTATGTCAATTAATGGTAAGTGATAAATGAGAATATGTTTATATTTTTATTAAAAAATTATGTTTTCGTATGAGCACTGAAAATGTTTTTGTTTTTATTTAAATAAATTAATATGTTTTGTTTTTAATAACACCGAAAATAGTAATTCGAAAATGTGAATATGTTTCTGTTTTTATTTAAATGCTACGCAGTTAATGGTAAGTTTTGTTATGACAATTTTGGATTTTATTAATTAATAGTTAATGGTAAAGTGAAATATGTTTCCATTTTTATTAAAAAATTAACTGTTTTCGTATGAACATTAAAAGAGTTTCCATATCTATTTAAATACGTTAATATTTTTTAATAATAACCAAAACAGTAGAGAGGAAAGAGGAACATGTTTTTTAATCAATGGTAAGTGTTGCTACGGCAACTTTCGTTTCTATTAACTAATAATTAATGGTAAAGGGAGACATGTTTCCATTTTTATTAAAAAAATATTGTTTTCATATGAGCATTAAAAATGTTTCATTTTTTTATTTAAATACAATATTTTTTTACTTTAATATTTTTTTAATAAGAGTGAAAAGAGTGGAGGGTGATGGCTATAAACCACCGAGAGTATGAAATAATGTAAGTTTTAGAGAGAGAGAATGCAAAGTAGGAGTATATTGATTTCAAAAATCGGATCCATTACAATGAGGGGTGCCACCCCTTTTATAGGGGGTACAATATACTAAGTCAAAGCCCTCTGATTGAGGCCCGTCGTTTAGCGGACGTCACCTGTCCTTAGGTCTTGTCCCTTTCATCCTATCGCTTTCACCAAGTCTTCGTTGAACGTCGTTTTCCGCACGTCTTGTCCCTTTCATCCTATCGCTTTCCTCAAGCCTCCGTTGAACGTCGCTTTCCGCATGTCATTGTCATGGGGCTCGGGCTCGGCTTGGTCGGCCGAGCAGGAAGGACGAGCGGAGCGCAGAGCCGGGCAGGAAGGACGAGCGGAGCGCAGAGCCGGGAAGGAAGGACGAGCGGAGCGCAGGGCTGGGCAGAAACATCCAAGCCCGATCTTTGGAAATTTATGCTTATGCCAGCCCTAGGCTGGTGTGGGGTTATTCCCCATCAGAAGCCCCCCACTCTCCGGGTTCCATGGCACCTAGCAGTGGAGCGCGTGAGAGTAGAAAGCACCGTGGTCGGTCAGCTCGTGGCCCACGCGCAGCTTGGCGGGCATGTGGTGACGCTTGGAGTTCCCCGCGTATGGTTGTGGCGCTTCGCTTCTCCCAATTGGCGGCCCAACCGTGGTACTTGTTTGGCCCATCACTATTCGGGCCCAATTTTAGTATAAATAACCCCCAAGGCTTTCTTCATTCTCACAAATTCTAGATAGAGAAAACATTAGGGTTGCCGTCCTCTTGTCGTTCCGTGGCCGTTCGCTGCACTCCGACCGTCTCTTCGGCGACACACTCGAGGTCAGTCCCTCTGTTCTGCTCATTCCATGTCTGTCGAGTCTTCCACTCTTCGCACGTCCAAAGCCGAGCATGGGCTCGTGCTCGGCAGCCAGTGTTCTGTACCCCAAGGCGGCCAAGCGGAGCAGCCGGGTTCCCCATCCATTGAGGAAATCGCGGCCGTAGAGGTGCCCGGGGAAACCGAGCCCCGCCTCCAGAAGCGCACATTGCTCGTGGACTCGCTCATCCGCGAGTGCAAGTGCGACTTGTCGAGTGACGAGTTCCTCAAGGCGGTGCGCTACGCTGGCCCCCTCGTGACCGTTCGTCGCCCTACCCCGGAGGAGTCGGTCTTCGACGCTCCTCCGGGCTACTTTTCCATCCATCTCAAGTCCCTTGAGAGCGGCTTCCGCTTCCCCCTCGAATCTTTGGTCATCGACTTCTTTAAGTACTTTGACTTCCTCCCGTGTCAATTGGTGCGAAACTCGCACCGGTACTTGGCGGGGTTCTTGATCCGCTGTCAGGAGATGGGCGTGCGTGCCGACCTTGAGCGCCTACTGACCCTGTTCCGAGTGGCTAAGTCTTCCGGGTCGGATGGGGGTTCTTTTGCCGCCCTCTGCCAGCGGCAAGAGAGACTTTTTAGGGACTTTTTAAAACCAAGGAGTCCAACAGGACTTGGAAGTCCAAGTTTGTCTTCGTCTCCGTGGGGTCAGCCTTCCCCTTCCGAGACACTCCCCTCAGCTCTTTTCGTAGACGATCCAAACCCTTTGCCTCTTCCAAGGCTATTGCTGATACGGATAAGTTGTGTTCGGGTGGCCCTTACGAGCCCGGGGTCTTAGTGAATGACGAAGCTCTTGCCAAGTTCGGGTTCGTCTTCCATGATGAGGACGAGCCCAAGCACAGGGTCGTCCAGAGCCAGCTTGAGGAGGGGCCCTCAGGTTTTCTTTGTTCAATTATTTGGCGAATTTATGCTCCGCTCGCGATTTGTTCAGGAGATTCGAACTTATCTCTTACTTTTCTTGTAGGTGAAATCATGATTTCCGCGGCCGATCGGAAGAAGCTGTTCAAGTCTAAGGCGCGCGCGGTGTCCAGCCAAGAACGGCCTCCGCTCCCAACTCCCGCACCGTCTGCCGAGCATGCCTGGGCGAGTAAGAAGCGCAAGGAGGTGAGCTCCTCGGCGGAAGAAGCTTCGCTGAGCGGGGCGAGGTCTCCACCCTCGCGCTCGGTGGACTGCGGGAACCCGGCCTTCGTGAAGGTGGCGTTCCCCCTCAAACCTTCGTTCTTGCATGGGGACTATGAGCCTCGCCGTTTTCTGCAGAGCTTCATCCCTCCGCTAGACCGAATGGAGATAAGTTCGGCCGCCACGCAGGACCTCGCCTCCACTCTCTTGCTCGAGTTGGGCTCGGTAAGCATTCTTTGCTCAGGTATGGCGTGCGTTTCTGCCCGACACTTAGATGGATTCTAACAAATTTTGCCAGAATTTCACTGCTGTTGTAGGTGGCCATGCGCGCCCCAGAGCAGGTGGAGCGCTTCGAGTGGTATGTGGCGGAGAAGGCCAAGGGCGAATAGGAGCTTCGGAGGCTGCAAGAGCACGTGGCTGGCCTCGAGGGGAAGCTTGGTGACGCGGAGGAGCGAGCTCGAGTTGCGGAGCTGGCCCGCATTGCTGCTGAGGAGAAGGCGCGCCATCTTGATGAGGAAGCCGAGCATGTAATTGAGGCCTTTCAGACCTCCCCTGCGTTCGAGGAGGCGGCTCTCTCCCGCATGGACGATCTTTTGAAGATCTGGGCTCAAACTCCGGCCGGCCAGCGTCTCCTTCTCAAAGAAGGGCAAGCCAACTATTCCCTGGGGCTGCAACGGGCTCAAGAGGTTTTGCTCGAGCGGATCCGAAAGGGGAAGGAACTCCCGAAGCCATGCGAGGACCCTGAGGAGTTTGACTCATCCATCTACTACTC